CCAAATACTTATATATGATTAAAGTCTAAAGTTTGTTGTTGTTATTGGCTTTTTGAATGTTTATTTTTTTGTTTAATCATGGCTGAACTTCAAACAAACATTCTTATAGGATAATTTACAAATGCTTTTAACTGCTTTTATTCTACTATTCCTAATTGCCATCCAAAAGATTGGTTAGAATTTGCATGATGTTTGGATGAGAAGGGGTATGATTTTCATTTAGGAATTATTTTAAAATGTGTGGTTCTTTTTTTTTTTTTTTTTTTTTTTCCTTGCGTTATGCGGGCCTCTCACTGTTGTGGCCTCTCCCATTTGCGGAGCACAGGCTCCGGACGCGCAGGCTCAGCGGCCATGGCTCACGGGCCCAGCCGCTCCGCGGCACGTGGGATCTTCCCGAAACGGGGCACGAACCCGCGTCTCCTGCATCGGCAGGCGGACTCTCAAGCACTGCGCCACCAGGGAAGCCCAATGTGTGGTTCTTTTAAAAACAACTTTGACTAACGTATTAAATCTAGTGATGGAAAGAATCTCACTGGACTTGCATTACACTTTGATGTCTTGGCAACAAATCTATTTTCTGCCTTTAGTCAAAGCTGAACTTTTCTGAGCTTTTTTCCTTAGCATTTATGAAATTCAGACTCTTTTCCCTATGTTATTTCTATATTACATTCTAGTGTTAATCTACTATCATTTGGTTTGAATTTCTTGAAAAGTTTCCTCTTTCCTTTTGATTAAAACAAAAATGTATATTTTTATACTGGGATGTTTTTGATTCTTGAAACTGAAAACTGAAAACCCATTTCTGAACTATGATATAAAATGACAAACTGTTGTATGTTGCAATTTAAGATACGAAACATTTGTATTTTACCTGTAGGGTTTTTTTGTCACAAACTTCCAAATCTTATATGACATGTTCAATTGTTGACTGGTTTTGTTATTTAACCATACAGAGTCTGAGTTTGAGTGACACACCTATTTTATGTGTGGTCTACAAATGAAAAGGTGGGGAAGCAGGTGCCACCTTCCTGCAAAAATCGCAGACAATGCTCTGTCCAGAATTTTACAATTGCCATTTGTGTGGCTGAAGCTCTTAGAACTTAACGTCGTATATAGGAAATGTGTCCCTCCTCCCTTAGAACACTCTTCAAAATCCAGTTACCAAGCGTGGGGCAGTATCTGGATGCTTTCCACGAGACCTCTTAGGACCTCAACCTAACTTGCGGAAAATTATTTGGGGCCTGTTCATTCAGCAGATAAATTTTTAAAAGAGAGAAAAGCAAAGAAAGAAGATGAGATTATCCTTTTTCCTGACTTTCCAGTTTCTCAGTCTCTTCACTCTAATGTTCTTCCAACTCCTGCCTCCAGCTCACAGAAAGCCTGGGTGGCAGCGGTGTGTACGCTCAGCAGAGAGCCAAGAGCGGGGGGCAGGGAAGTCTCCTGAGGCACTGCTTACTAATGTAATTCCATAAATCAGTTAATGGGAGAGAAACCAGATCTGTGTGGTCTCTAATGCTGTCCCACAGAGATCAATCATGTCACCTGAACAATGTTCAGGGACTACGAGGCTGGAGTTACCCACGGGACAATTTTCTCCCTTGAGTCATATCAGGTTGGGAGATTTAAAAAAAGTTAGATCTTAGTATCAGAAATGTAACTGCTGTGAATATAAAAACTACAGGATTCCCTTTGTATGAGATTACCTTTGTGTGAGACAAAGGTCCGTCATATAATGTATTATCATACTATGTAATCACATTTCTTAAAATATCTGGGAACTTAATATTGATCATTGAGGATACAAGTTTTTAAGATAAGTTTTGTTGCACAGGGGCATACAGAATTTGTAATGACTGCTTTGAATAATCAGTGATAATTTTTTTAGTAGAGTAATTGACTAAATGAATAGTCTTATATGCAACTATACAGTGCACAGTATCATAGGAAAACTAAGTTTGTTTTATGTGCATTGTTATCATACGGAATACTATAAAGGGGTGATTTTATTAATATATTTTTAAGGAATTAAGATGCTCTTAACATGAGGCTAAGCAGGAGAACATGGAAATAAGAAAAGCAGTTTTAAAAGGAATGCCAGAGGGGAGGCTTTAAAAAATGTGGGCAAGAATCCCAACACATCTATGTGAATCTGTCTTAATTTCAGTTTACTTACCCTGAGAATCTGATTACGCCTCCAGTATTTGGCATGAGAATAAGTCAAAGGGAAAGAAGAGCACGTGGGGCTTGAAGTGATAAATAAGAATAGTAGTGATGACTATAATCCAGATATTAATTGGTGTCCATAATTTAAAGTCAACAAATATTAGCTACTGAACTTACACCTGAAATCCACAGGTAATATCCATAATGAATCCCCAAATCACTATCCTTAGCCAGGGAGTCTACCTGGCATCTAAAACATCTCCACAGATGATGATAAGTTACAGAAACCAAATTAGAGAGGGAAGCAGGTCAGCAGGGCTACTTTTCACCATCCCACAACCACTGCTCCAGCTTTGGTTCAGTCATGTAAACCCTGTCACTCTGACATGCATCCAGCTGGTTTCCTACAACCATAACTGTGTGGTTACACATGTGCTTAAGGCAATCATGCTGCCTTTGCCGCTTTAAAATGACCTAGATAGAATGTTAGCCAATTAAAATTTTTAAAAAAACAAAACTTTTTCTTTCTTTCTGCCAAATTGCATTCCATTAATAATCTTAGCTTTGAACCAAGAACAATTCTCTGGTAGGAGGGGGTGTATAGCTAGGAGAACATCTTCAGAGAGCTCTACAAAGAGAGAAATGTGTTTCCCTTCCCATCCACACCCCAGTTTCTGAAGATCAACAGAATTTTAAAAGAGAAGAAAAAGTAATACTATGGAATTTTGTGATCAAAAAGCCTAAGAAACTTAAGGATCATGGTAAGTTTGTGGGAAAACTATCAAAAGGAAGAAAAAAGGAAACTTATGAAATTTGTTTAGACTAATAAATCAGCATAGAAACTTGTGCAGAAAACCTCTTGGTACTCATTCAGAGAGGTTACTTACTAAATAAATGAGAATTATTCAGTGGTCCTATCTACTACATACCCTAAATTGGGATGCAGGCAGTGCATGAGTCTAGCAAAAGATGAAGACCACTTAGCAACACCAAATCTATAATTCTAGATTTTATAATCCTAGATAGTATAGTTTGAGAGGAAAAAAAAAAAAAGCTATGTAGTGCTATTAACTGGGCAATAACAGGAGGCTTTAGTATGAACTGAATCTTAATTGCCCATGAGCCTTAGAGACCTAGAGAAGTTATATTAATCCAGAGAAGATCATTCAAAGCTAAAAGCTAATTTTTGCCACCTAAGAAAACACATGGACCTATGCCTTTATAATTGCTATTATCTTTGCTTAAGCAGAGTTGCCAAAGGAAATGTAATAAACCACCCTGGAGTAAAGTCAAACTTTCAGCAGAAATAGGTTCTTTTATAAAGAGGAATCAATGCAATATATTGATGGAATTGATCATAATCAATAATAATATCAATATAAATTGATTTTGAGGGAATTCCAAAGTGCTATTTGCTTTGACTTATATTAATAAAACAAAACAAGACAAAAAACTGTATCTTACTTGTGTTCAAACATGCCAAGATCTTTAACTCTTTTCCCTTCTCCTTTTAAAGACCAGTCCTTCTTGGAGAAAACTCCTTTAAGCCACGTTCACAATTTCTTAAAAGAATGTGCAGATTTCCCTCTGATGATAACTTGTGAGAACCACTCTCAGCCTACAATCCAGCCCATTGAATATTCCCTAATGCTAAATCCACCACCTATATATGAACTTAGCCATCTACTCTGTAAATTATATCAAGAGGCTAAATATGACTACCTGTCCATATTTCTTTACTAAATATACCACCAAACCCATTTACCTCTGATTTTCCATTTTTTCCCCTTTTGTTTTGATCAGGTCACCATATGAAATTTCCACCAAACACATCAATCTTTGTATTTAACATAATTAAAAGCCTAATTTAACAAGTAATTTAGTGATAATCTGTACGTTGTCTGTTTTAAGGGCATATAGGAAAAAGAAACTATTATTGACCAAATAGGGGTGTCCAACAAAACAGTGCTTGGTGTATAGAACAATTTTGTGACTACAAAATGATTAATCTGCTAAATGCAGAAACCCAAATTTATATTTTTTGTAACTGAGTTTTAGGAATCATTCGTTTCTAAGCTATGTAAGACATTCTTAAGTAAAATTACCATCACCTGCTACAAATTGTATCTATTCTAAGTCATCTCTCCTTAAAAACTGCAAATGGTGTTCAGCTTTCTATACTATATCCACTTTCCGGAAAAATACCAAGTATGCAGAAAATAAAATGAGGAAACAAACATTTTGTCATGGTAAGGAGAAAAATTATCCTAGAAGAGGGTAGAAAATCCCCTTTTGAATTAATGTATTTCCGTTTCAATGATTACTCTGTGTGTGTGTGTGTGTGTGTGTGTGTGTTAATGGGAATGTAGGCTTGTGTGCCACAAACTGTGTCCTCATTGTTACAACTGGGCCACTAATAAGTCTCGCCCAATAAAAGTATATAGAATGTGATGTGTCCCACCCTTTGGGCAGAGATGCTTTTAAAAATAATAATAAGGGGGGAGGGGTCATTTTGAACCACCAAGGGAAATTTCTGACCATATTGAATGTGAAACTTCTGATTTTTCAAACCAATTACATTAGTTTTCCTCCCGGAGCTAAAAAGGAGGGGCGCCCTCCCCATATGGAGGGCGGTTCCAGGCGAAGTGCAGCTGGGGAGGGTGGCGGAGAGGCCATGACCTCCGCAAACCACCTACAACTGTATCTTACAACCTGAATGAAGCTTCAGGAAAGGGGTACTGCATCTTGAAGCCAGACACGAAGCCCTGAAGGGGAGAGGACAGGGGAGTGAGGAGGGAGGGGGGGAGACTGGGAAACAAGAAATCATCTCCTCTGACCTCTAGCGAAGTGCCAGGTTTTTTCTTTAGCTCTTCACATTTTCTAAATTTGCAGATCTGGTGTCCCGTTTTGCGGTTCCTGCAACTGCTGCAGACGCCACAGTTGATGAGCCTCTTGCAGGGCACGCAGACCCCACACCTTTTCCTCTTCTTCTTGGCCGGGTTGGCTCCGCCAGCTCCCCCCGAGGAGGACGAAGAGGAGGAGGAATGATTCTGCGGGCAGTCTGCCAGATTGGCAATTTGAAACGCACTGTCTGTGACGGCTGCTGAGGCTGCTGCGGGGGAGTGAAGGGCTGTCATGACGATGACCCCTGGAGGTAATGAGATGCCCCCTAAAGCCGGGATAGCGGAAAAAGTCCCCACGCGCTCGGGGAGATTCATTATCTCTGCTTCAGCAGCGCCGCATTTGAGCTTGTTCATGCATTCCCCCGCCAAAGGTCTGCAGTGTTCGGGGGATAAGGTGGAGAGGAAATTAGTATTTGCCATTTGCAACGACGGCTCTGGCGGGCAGCCAGCTTTCCCCAGCCTCTGGGAGTCGTTTCGGTGGTGCATGCTGGTCCTGCCGCCGCCGCCGCCGCCGCTGCCGGGCAGGGCCGGCTCCGGCCGGGAGGAGCTGCGAGGGCGCCGAGATGGGCTCCGCGCCGGCGCCCCCGCCCCCGCCGCCCCCGCCACTGCCCCAGAGCATGGCGGTGGCGGCGGCGGCGGTGGCCGCGTTGTCGCAGTTCCAGGGGGACATGCCGATGCGCGCGGCGGCCGCGGCGGCGGCGGCGCTGCTGGGGAAGATGGGGGTGGTGATGCGCGCGATCTTGGCCGCCTGCGGGAAGGCGCCCCCGTTGGTCTTGTAGAAGGAGGTGGCAAAGGAGCGGTAGCGCTCCATCTCCGAGTTGTAATCCACAAGGCTGTTCAGGGCTCCCTCGGGCAGGTGGCTTTCCTTGGGCAAGCCCGGGGTCTCCGGGCTCGGCCCGGGCTCCACGCAGACATTGGTGTTCATGGTACAGGGCGGGAAGAAGGGGTGCAGGGTGGAAGTGGGGACCGTCTGGTCCGACACCTGGGTGGGAAAGGGGGGAAGGTGGGGGGGAGGAAAGGGGGTGATGGTGGTGCCGGGGTGGGGGCCGAGGCGGGAGGGGAAAGTGGGTCCGGGTGGCGAGAGCAAGGTGAGGACTGCTTTATTCCTCTCTGGGGCGCATTTCCACAGACGGTGAATTCTCAGGCAGCGTCTTCCTTTGCATTATCCTCCAACTGTTACAACTAAAATAAAGAAAGTCATTCCAACAAGCAGCACGAGGAAAAAGATGGTCAAATAAATAAACAGCCTCCCTCACTACCCCACCGCAGACGCTGAAAGCTCCCACATTCTTCGTCAGGTCGTTTGCATAACAATCATCAAGACGTGACCCCCCCCATTCCCATCCTTCCCCCACGCTCCCAGCCCCGCTCTCTCCCTCCCCACAGCACACCACGGCTCCTCCCCCCTATTCTTATAACCCTCCTGAGAAAATGTATTAATAGCC